TCTTAGCTGACGGCCACCTCTCCAAACAACCCAGTTCATGGGGCAGAAATTGTTATTTGAATGGCTAAAAAAAAAAAAAAAATCAACGGGCCAGGGCTCCGTTTCAGCGACAGGGCACAGCAATGGCTCCAGGTGGGTGGACACTGAGATCAGATTCTGCAGGGCCCCATCCTCCCTCCCAAGTACCTTCGCAGTGGAGGCGATGCAGGGGGCACAGGATGTGTGTGAAGGGCCTCAAGTAAAGTGGTTTTATGGCTCTGGCATGGTTTGTAAGCCGAGCAAACAGAAAAATCTCAGGAATAAAAGGGGCAATAAAATAATTACATAATGCTTTGAACTCACACTAAATAGCACCTGTATTTCAAGGCGTTCAATGTGTTTTACAGGCAAGTTTAGAGCTGTAGCTGTATCCCCTTTTATCAGGGGGGAAACTGAGTCACTGCTCAGCAGGAGCTGGGAGCCCACAGGGTTTGTTTCTGGGAGACCCGTTTGTTTCTGGGAGCCCTTCCGGGGGTGGGCCAGCAAGAGCGTGTTTCCCACCACACCTTTGTTCTGAGCATAAAGATACAAATGCCTATCTCTAGGCATAAACTCTGCCCACACAGCCCAGCCATGTCTGAGTTCCAGGGGTGGCTTGCTGATGCTGGCATTGACAATGAGATTAACACCAAGCATGGGTTTTGATGCTTGTGGACACGGGACCATTGGCCCTGCACCTCCTGCGAGGTTGGTGCTGTAGTTCTCATAGTGTAATGGAAGCATAAGAAGTCAATGCCTGTCCCCAGCAGAAGCAGCCTCAGAACCTGCACTTTCTCCACCAAGGACAACTACTTCCAAGAAAGAGCCCAGATCAACAGTTTTGCTCAGAAGCCAGAAATTTCCACCATCCCTCCTGTCTTCCTGAATATGGAGAAGGCCAGGACAGATTTAGACACATTTCTCCTGGACTCCAAGAGCTGTTTGGGAGATAAGAACAAAACCATAAAATGGGCCAGACAGGCATTTCTAAAATCATAAAGAGCTGCAAAAAAAAAAAAAAAAAAATTATGAGATTGCTAAAATAATGGAGAAAACTCCAGGATGACTAAAAAATTGTAAGATTGTTAAAATTATGGAAAAGATCTAAAGTATTTATTTCTCTTATTTTTTTTTTAAAAAACTACTCAATATTTGGAAATTGTCATATTGAATGCATTTTGATGGTCCACTGTGAGAACAACCCAGGAATTCCAAGATTATACGCCATTGGCTGAAGCACCCCCACTTTGGGTTCTGAGGTGCCCCCTATTTCTTGGCATGTCACAGTCCCTCCTAGCCCCAAGGAACTCTGCTAGCTGCTCACTGTCTCCCTGAGCATGCCAGGCTCTGTTTCCCAGTCTCTGACAGCTGAGTACAAACATGTGACAGGATGTGCAGGTCAGAGAACTGTGCACTGGCCAAGGTGCCTCTACCAATGACCTATTAAACTTCCTGGCGATCCTCTCCCTCCCACTGTCTCTGCTGTCTGCCTCCTGGCTATCAACACCCCAGTGATCTTGGAAGACACTGAGGCTGGCAGAGTGGCTGGCCACCTGGACCCTGAGGAGCTAGGTGGAACCCATCCCTGGGCCCTGCCGCTGACAGAACATGATTGATCTGGCCTTAATTAATAGGTCCAACATGTATAAGTAACTGGTTCACGGACAGACGCTGGTCATCTGAGTGGCTAAAAAAAAAAAATTAACCACAAAACTGTTCCAGTGACAGTTACATTCTACAAAATGTAGTGACGAATAGCGTTCTCTTAACTAGTAGGTAAATTACAGATAACAATCCACCCTCTCAGGCCAAAAATGAAAAATTCTACGATCACCTTTGTCTGTTGCCCCTCTGTGGTCAGTCAACAAGTCTGCATGACCCAACAGAGTGAAACCTGAGACTCGGGATACTGTGGGGCTCTCCTTCTTGTTGAATTTGTGGCCTGTGATACAACCCCACTTCTTCAATACCCTTCCTGGACACTCCAGACTGGGCACAACAAACTGGTCTCATCTGGAAGCCACCTCCAAGGGACTGTTGCTGCCTGTGCTAAGGATTCAGGCCAGGCAGGCTGAGCAGAAGGAGCAGCCATGTGAGCATCGGCCAGGGCGCAGGGAGGCACTGCCCGGGGTCACGCCCTCCAGTGTCCCCAGACGTCTAGAGGGGGCAAGTTCCTGCAGCATGGGCGGGGGTGCCTCACCCATCCTTCATCCCTTCACCCTCCTGAGGTCTGCTGGATTAAAACTTCCAGCTGTGGGCCTCGGAAACCCCCAGGGACTGCCCAGAGCCAGGCAAAGGCAAATGGTCTGCACCCCAGGGCTGGGAGGCCCTGGCACCTTAGTTGCCTCCTGTGTAAACAGGGGCAATAGTGATGGACTAGGAGGATTAAATGACAAAGGTGGGCTTTGACTACATGGTCTTCTAGGAGTCCAAGAAGAGCTTTGTCCACAGCCATGATAAAGATCCCAGTCCCCAGCATGTCCAGATGCCCTGGCAGTACCACTGTACCTGCAACATGAAGGACTGGCTGGACGGTCTGCTCCCTGCTGACTGCTGCAGGCTGCTCTGCCTCAGCTCCATGCCCAAGCTGGGAAGGATCCTGGACAGGGAGCAGCCTGCTGAGAGGCACCTAGGGGGGACCCATGGCCAGCTTGATGAGGTCTGTGAAGTTACTGTGTGGGCATAGCAATGTGGTATGGTGATGAGAGCACATGTGGTCACAGTGCATTGTGAGGGAGCCGTGCTGACCAATCCTGGTGACATGGCACTGGGGAGTCTGTCTACCCTTCTGGCTTCCGGTCTCACGCTTTGTCTGTTTCCCCTCTGTGGTCAGTAAACAAGCCTCGACTCTGGATCTCTCAACAGCATGACGAGGGCAAAGGGAAAAGGTCTGGAGACTCTGCTCAGGCCAGCTGGTTCCTTCGGACACTGACCAAAGGTTCTCCTGACCCTCGAATATCACCAGGAAAGGGATGAGCTGAAGGGATACCAAGACTTATGGATCAGTGCAGAAGTTTCCTGGATGGGCAGAAGGGAAGCAAACCAGGCCAGGCTGCTCTGGCCCCTGCCAAGGTCATGCAGGGTAGACTGGCCATGCGGTGACCCTGAGGCCCTGACTTAGGGGTCACCCTGGCCCCGCAACACTGCACGAACAGACACAGGACACTGGGCCTTCACTGCCAACCACCAGGGAGGGCTATGGTGTCCCCGAGCTGTTTTTCCCCACTCAGTCCTCACCAGGAGGCCTAGGCAGGGCCTCCAGGGGGCCAAGCTTGGGTCCTGTGCCCGCACCTCACTTCTAGGGGCTAAGAAATCAGGTAGCCAGTCCTCTCTGTTTCCCTGGTGCGGAGCCCAAATATAAGAAGTGGGCTCAAAGACCATGTGGCCAGAAGCCAGTGCGTGCTTGCCACACATGCCTGGTTGGCTGTTTTCAGCTGGTCAACACACAGGAAAGCTGAAAAAAACCCAATTTTTCTGCTCTATTTGCTTGTCCCTCCGTGGACCACTAAAACCAGGTGCTGGAGGACTATGCAGCCATGTAGCCTGGAAAAAAGACCATGGGTGGTTGTGGGCACAGATCTTGGTTGACTCTTCAAAAAGTGGAGACTTTGCCCTTGGAGTGAGGTCTCAGCCAGTCCCAGTGAACTGAGGGGGCCAGTGGTAACATGGGCCCCCCAGGCACTTGGGGGTCTGGACCTGCCTAACACAGTGCATTCTGCAGAGCTGCTCACCAGCCCAGGAGCCAGGAAGTCTGAGCTCTGGCCCTGCCCTACCCCTGCTCCTGGCATGGCTTTGAGGAGATCTTTCAACTCCTGTGACTCAGTTTACTCACCTGCCAAGTGAAGATAATCATGTGGAGCTCAAAGGACTTTTGTGAGACTCTAATGAGTATTTATAAAGCACTTTGTAGGAGTTTACAGTTATGTGAGCTGGGAAAGGAATTACAAATGATTCAGGGGTAAACAGTATTTAGAATCTGAGTTTTCAACAGCCAGCAGACTTTCCTGGGTGTTTATAAGGCCATGGAATCAGGACGCCCTGGGGTTCCCTCTGTGCAGACCAGCCTCTCCTCCTGAGCAGCTTGCCGCAGGCCCAGGAGGGCCGCTCAGCTCCAGGCCGTGCCTTGTGTGGGCAGGAGCCAGCAGAAGGACTGGACTCAGAGGCAGAAGGCAGACACGCAGCTGGGTTAAAAGTTCTTCCAGAGATCAGGATGATTAGACCATGGGGAGATACTCTGCGAGCAGATAAACCTGATTCCTCCCCAACTACCCACTTCCAGATCGGATATGTGCTGCATGCCTTCAAGGCTCCGCACTGCTCATGGTAGTAATAGATGCTCCTTTGTGAAATAAAGCACCTTTCTTCCCCACAGGAGTTCGAAATTAAAAAAAAAAAAAAACAGTGAGCAGGAGCACAGGGAGACAAAGAATGAAATGTGGTGAGCCCACCCCAGAGGTCACACTATGGGTGTCCACTCACCCTTTCCCTCCCCTATTTTCAGGACTCTGTAAGGGCAGATGGGCATTGCCGTCTCCATCCTTTGCCGGGGACGTGAATCTAAGAGAGGCGCGCTGTCTGTTAAAGGTGCAGACAGCCAGCACCCGGTGGAGCACGTGCTCCTGCCCTTCACCCATCTCTGTCCAGTTTCTGTTTCCTGGCTGCTGCTCCTGCTCGATCCCCATCTCTGGCTGGCTCCTAATGGTGCTGGACGGGTATCCCAAACTCTGCCCTCCTCTCTTGCCCCACAACACCCAAAGCTACCGAGCAGAAGGATAGGCAAGATGGGGAGGGCAAGAGAAAGAAAGTGTCCATGGCAAACATCTGTGCCCTCTGGCTGTTCTTGGGATGCTGCAGGAAACTCGCTAAAGTTTTAATATTGGCAGAAGAGCCCACTCAGTTCTGGATGGAGCCTCTGCTTCAAAGGTCAGCCTGCCCTGTAGAACCATTCGCTGCAGGCTTTCCCGTTAACCAGAGGCAGGAGATCAGAGAGTCAGGTTTTATTCCATCTCGTTCCCAGGAGGAGGGACGGCTTTCTACTCCTGATCCCACTCAGAAGAAGGAACCCTGGGCAGAGTGTCCCCAAGCTCTCCAGAGGCAGCATCCTGTCCACACTGTGTTCTCACATGGACGATTCCATTCCCTGTAAGCATAAATGAGCAGGAGTATTTTGAAAAGAGAAAGAGGCCATTGCCAAAAGGAGCCAGGTGCAGAGAGCTTCCCACAAGACCCTCAGCCTCACCCCCACCAAAAGAGTGCAAGGAATCAGGGTTCCACTTTATTATCCAGTATTCACTTGAAGCCACACGCCAACCGGGGGTCTTGAAGGGTGTGAGGAGGAGTCCCTGGCCTCCTGGGGCTATGGTCTCCAGGGAACAGAAAACAACCATACTACCAGGAAACCACCTTAAAAGAGAGATGAATGAGTTCCATGGGAAGAGTATTTCATTCTGCTGGGTAAACCCGGTTCCTCCCTGCTTGGGGACCTTAGGGGTTGGTCTTCCAGCAGGAGCTCTTGCCTGGGATGGCTTTCAGCCTCTAGTTCCGGTCAGCCTCAGTCTTGTCCTGCACACCACAGACACTGCCGCCCCCTCCAGGACACTGTTCTCTGGGCCCCACCTCTGGCTCTTGGTGAATCTCCTTCATGACACCTTTTACTTTCCTCCCGGTTGTTCCATGTGTGTGGTAAGGCCCACGTAGCATCACGGCATACTCAAGGGCAGGAATGTGTCCTGTATGCACCTCAATAATTGTTTGTGGGATTTAACTAAATCCTACTGGATATTTTATCAATCAAAATAACGAGGATGTGAAATTACATTTACTGGGATTAAAAGATTCCTATAGTGGAATATTGTTAACTTTAAAAATCAAGTTATACGATGGAATGTTCTAGGACGGCCACAGCTGTGTCTTGTCACAGGGTCCTGGCAGGAAGGAGTCATCAAGAAGTCCATTTATAGGAGCTTCAGGGAAGAGGCCTCCTGGAGAGTGGGGGCAGAGTAAAGTGTGAAGACGGGAGGGCGACTCCAGACCCACCGGGCAGAACACGTGCCACTGGAGCACAGATGGGAGAGGAGAGTGTGGGGGACTGGGGAGGCCAGAGTCTGCCAGGTGAGTCTAGCAGTGGGTTCTGAAGCCAGAAGGACTGGACTGGCTTACACGAAGCAGGGGACTGTCCCCTGCTTCTCAGCCGCAGGCTTTGTACCTGCCACACCTCTCTGTGCTGACCATAAAGGGAAGCCAGGAAAAGAACTTGAGTTATGCCAGGAAGTTCCCCCCCTGGGGACAGGGGGACAGAGCAGGGTGGAGGGGAATGGGTCAGGGTGGTGAGCAGAGGCCATTTAGAGCACGTGAAGGAGGGGTGTGGAAGGATGAGCCAGGTCCATGGAGAGGTGTCTGTGAGGGCCATTGGCTGTCCCCCATCCCATTCAACGAGCATGTACTGTTTCTATAATCAAGGGGAAAACAGGTCTTTGGTTCAACACTCCAACCCTCCAGAAGTCCACACAGGGGTGAAAACTGCAGCAGCCCTCTTATAATAAACAGTGACCGGCACTTTCAAAGTCTCCTTCAAATATTTCTATCCCTGACCCAAGATGTTGAAGACACAGCTAACTGTTCGTGGGTTCATCTGCTCACTGACTTGTTCACTCAACAGTATTTCTGAACGTGTTCCTGCTGAAGCCAGGCTGCTACTCCACAAGGCAGATGTGGTCCAGGACCCCGAAGCCTGCTGACGTAGCCCACGTTGGAGGGAAGGTGCAGGTGGCAGGTGGAGGTGCTGTTGGGGCCCTCCCACAGGAGAAAACAGAGCAGTGTCCCAACACCCAACATGATTTGCCTCTTCCCTGCTGGACAGGGACATGGGGCTGCCCCAGCATCAGATCAGGTGTGTCACCCTGTCTCTGTAAGGCCGAAGTCAAACAATAAGTGTGTACCTTCACTTCTCCTGAACTAATCATACAGACTCAGATTGGGTCCAAGCAACACCAAGATGAATTTAGGTTAAAATTTCATTTTAAGGGGCTGGGGTTGTGGCTCAGCGGTAGAGTGCTCGCCTGGCATATGTGAGGCCCTGGGTTCGATCCTCAGCACCACATAAAAATAAAATAAAGGTATTGTGTCCAACTACAACTAAATAAACAAAATATTTTTTAAAATATTTTATTTTAAAAATCAGAGAACAGGCAGTGGAATGAGATGGACATCTTTAAGTACATGCATGAAGACATGAATGGTGTGACTCTACATTGTGTACAACTAGAGACATGAAAAATTGTACTCTATATGTGTAATGTGAATTGAAATGCATTCTGCTATCATATATAACAAATTAGAATAAATTTTTAAAAATCAGAGAACAAAGTGGGTTTTGCACAAGCATGAGAGTGTGCAATGGTTCAAGTCCCCCCAGGCAGAAGCCCCACTGTGTGTCTCTGCTCCTGCACCCCATGTGGGCCTGGGCCTTGTGGCCATCACAGAGTCAACCTTGATGTTCCTCTTTAGCAGCAACAACTTCCATATTCCCAATCATAGTGATCCTACATAAACCCCAAAATATGTCAGACCCCATGAAATGCTTGTTTATTCAATATTTCTTGTGTGTGTGTGTGTGTGTGTGTGCGCGCGCGTGTGTGTTTTGCTGGGGATTGAACCCAGGGCCTTGTGCATACTAGGGAAGCACTCTACCAATGGCACTATATCCCCAGCCCCTTTAATATTTCTTGATCAAGAAAATACCTAATGACAAAAGCCTATAATGAATTTAGCTATTTGTATAAATAAGCATGCATTTTATTAATTATAGCCATTCATTAATATTCAAAGATTAGTGGCTCACATGGGTAGGAGGTGGTGTTTCTCTACAGGCAACACTTGTAGGGCACACATATTCTCACTTACCAGCACAGATTGGAAATCTCCTAACTAGACCAAACCACAGAGTGCTACCCCATCAACTGTTGTCACTCAGAGCTGTGAAAAGAGGAACCGGGGTCGCTAGGGTACTGTCCTGGGTCCTACTGGAGGACGTTAGAGATGCTGGTGCCTGGAGCCATTGAGGTAAGCAAACAGGATCTCCTGACAGCCATCTGTCCAGAGGTCGCTGTTGGGCACACCCAGAATCTAACTCAGGGAGAATGGAAATTGCTGCTCACTTCTCAGTGTGGCCCCAGGTCCTTGGCCAGAAGGCTCCATCATAATCAAGACCAACCCAAGTGGGCTTGGAGCTCTATGGCAGACAGGGATGACTGGCTCTTCACCTCCCGTCAGCTCCACCATCCCCAAAGGGGCAGCTGGACCAATGGTCCTACAGACTAACACAACCTGACACTGATGGTCCCACTGCCCTTCATCTCCAAGCCAGCAGGCTCATTGCTAACCTGCCACAGCCATATGCTCGGGAAATGTTGCAAGAGAGGAAGTGAACTGTGAGGCGCTGAGCTTCAGGTCCTCCCTGAAGGATGTCCCTGAGCAGACTCAGGCAACTGGAGGCCTTACCTCCAGAGGCTGAAGCTACCTGTGCTGCGTACTGCTGCTGAGCACCCTGCGTGGGACCAGTTGGAGTTGTTCTCTGTGATTTTGGAAAGGATGCAGCTCCAATAAGCCTAACAAGAGCAAAGCCTGCTCCATCTGACCTGGAATGCAGTCACCATGTTGTATGCAGAGGCTTCAGCTCTCAATTCAGTCTTTTATCTAGATAAACACACAAATTTTCTTGGTACTCAATGTCGGATGCGGGAAGGAGGTAGCTACATGTGTTCAGGGGGCTGAGACTCCTACTCTGGAGGAAAAAACTGGCTTCCTGGACAAAGCACTAAGCAGGACAGAATGTGGATAAATCCCATGTTTGTGACTGACAAGATTTGAACCCACTCAACCAGACCCAACAGACTAGTGGGAGTCCAGGGACTCCAACTCCCCAGAGACAGGCAGATGCAGTGTGGAGTCTGAGTTGGGTCCAATGTGGGCTTCTCTGTAACACTCCACCCACTCGCTTTTCTGCATCTGTCAAGTTAAATGCCCAGCCAGACCTCGTCACTTCCTCTGCAAAAGGAGGGCAGCAATTCCTTGTCAACAAGCTCTATGGCTCTCTGAGATCTGGATGGACAGTATCTGCACTGCTGTGCTTACCAGTTCTTGTCCTCATTATTTTTTGTCAGAGCACAATACTAATCCTCAGTCTCCCCTCCCCCCACAGTGCTTGGTCACACTGAATAAACTGGCCCAAACTTCACAGGAGGCCACAGGAGGCAACAGACGCCTCTGAAGGAAAGGTCTACTGAACATAAGGGGAAAGTGCTTCTGGAGGAGCCCTTGATATACGGCAACACTTCCAGGTGTGGCCAAGACAGGAATGGGTGTATCTGGGGACACTGCCAGGATGATGGGGGTTGTGAGTGAGTTGCTATGGGGTGGAAATATTTCTGAATGTCACCCAATAATGTGCCACTTACCACAAAGATAGTATCAGCATCTCTGTACAACCAAACACAGAGCCACCAAGATCTCCAGATTCCCAGCGTATCTGCCAAGGAATGTGCATCCCAGTACTTCAGTAAGTCCATCTTGGGTCATCTGTCCTCTGATGAGAAACCTTTTCCCAGACTGAGTAGGGATTTCAGAAACTAGGTAACTATTCACCAAGGAGCCATTGAGTATGTTTCCTTGCCTGTGAAACAGTTGTCATAGGAAAGGAATCAGCTATGGACCATCTGCACCTCATTAACCCAAGCACTGAAAAGGAGGCCAAATTCACCAAGTGAACCCAAAAGCCTATGAGCAGGACTCATGCCTCCCTGGCCCAGAGCACTTAGCACTGAAGAGATTCCACATCTGTGGAGCCAGAGTCCTGGATGCTTCTCACTCCTCAGTGCTTCTCCTCAGTGGGAATTGGGAATGGAGGCACTTCTTTTCTTCCCAGAAAGAGAGGAAAACATTCCACAAGGATCATTGTGGCCAAAAATCTTCTCCTGTGCTGATGAAGGAAACAGGGGTAGCTGGCTCATAATGTGAAACTCACATGTGCTGAAGATCTCTAAGGAGCCTCCTCTGAAACGGTACAGAGAGAAGCCCCTCCCTGGAGATCTATGGGAGTCCTGGGGCCACAACCCCAAGAATGATGTAGGCAATGATTTTAGGAGGTGCAGAGATGAATGACTTTCTTGGTGAGAGTTGCATGTGCCCTAATAGTTGGGCATAACTAGCACACCCAACTTGTGGCTTCAAGACGTTGCCTGGGATTAAGATGGAAGGAACATAGATTAGAAATGTGTAAGTGCAATTGTTCAAACCTAGAGATATGTGCAAAGGTGGTGTGCAGAGAAGCAAAACAGGAAAGCAGAAGATAGCACGCAAACGGCCCCAAATTGGGAAATGTTGTTGAGGACTGGCACCAGGTGGGTTCCATGGTGTGGGCAGTGGGGTGGTGCACAAATTCATTTTCACAGCCCAGTTCCTGACTGTCCACCCAGGACCTTGGCAATGTTGTTAGAGCCACTTGGTTTTTGCACCATGTTAGGAAGTCTTACCGTGAATGACGTGAGCCAAAGAGGAGATTCCTTTAATGATCCCCACGCTCTGGGCCCATGTCCTTGAGGTTGAAACAAGTGTCTTTAGTGCCCTGGGGGACCTTGAGGACTGCTCCTCTGGGTTAGCTTGGCTCCTGCATAGGGAAGGGTTCCTGCAGTCTTCTCACTCTTCCTCCCACCCCCTTGACCTCACCCCTGAGAGAACAATCAAGGGTTTGGGGACAAACCTGGTCCAATTCCAGGACATGAAGGTGCTCTGGTGAGAGCTGTGGACACCTGATGGAGCCATGGGGTTTTGGAGTGCCTGAAGTTTGATGGGAAGGTAGGCATGGGGAGTGGCCCATCATACCCCAGAAGAAAGTTAGAACATGATGCCTTTTTACTTATTGCTAAAGTTCTCATCTCTGGTCAGACAAACTGCAGCCCATACCCACAGTGGGGTAGTATGGAGCTGTTAAAAAAGTGCGTCAGAGCACATATGGAAACAGAAGGAAAGAAAGGGGGCTGCAGAATAGCATTTTAGCATGATTTGCTGTTATGCAAAATAAAAGCATCAACCTATGCTTACTTATAAGCATAGGGTGTTTCTAAACCAAAATCATCACAGTGGTTATTTACCCAAATAGGCCTGGAGGATCAGGAAGAAACACTGAAGCCCCACTTTGTGTCTCCGTGTTGGCAATTTTTTCAGTGACCTATATTGCTTTTATAACAAAGTCCTTTTAAAATAATGGCAAACAATGGGGTAATATTTAAAATATTATGTCCATGGCCCAGAAGGTATATTTCATGGGACCTACGTTAGAGTGAAGTGTCCATTCGCGTTGACGTAATAATCACAGTAGATAATACATGTTGCTTAGTAGTCATCATGACACAGACTCACATTTATGTAACCATCACCAGGCAGGATGCATATTGCATGATGGTCATTGTGAGGCCCCTTTAGATAGAAGCACAGAAGGACATGGAGCACTGACAGCAGTTGTGGGGGTGGGGGCGGCCGGCCCATCGTGGATCGTGGAGCAGGAGGTGAGTCGCACCTCACCTCAGCTCTGATGCCATAGCAGCTCTGAGAGGTTGAGTTCCATTTTCTCTGCCTCACAGATGGGGCCATTGGGGCTTTTAGATTTGGCCCAGTGGTCATGGCAGGGAAGCTAACTGTCTGGTTACACTCACGTGGTCCTTTCCCTAGTACAGAATAGTCACTGGGGTTACGTTTCCTAGCCCCCCGGCTCAAGGAAATGTGACTGGAAGGGATATGTGTCACTCTGGGCTAATGTGCTAAGACACACCACCTTCTCTCTCACCATCACCTCTAGGCAGAGGTCTCCGGGGCCTTAGGGGACTGTATAGCCACCAAGTGGAAGGATCCTGGATCCCTGAATGCTCACCTGGAGGAGATCCACTCAATGACCTAAATGAGGAGATGACATCCTGTCACATCTCTGAATAAGGGTGTGTTTGTTACTGCTGCTAGCTACAGGGTGGTGACAGAGTATCATTGGGTTTCAAGGGCTAAAGAGTAGCACCAGGACACCAGGACCATTAGACTTCAAAATCCATGCCCATTTTACCATACTGAAATACCCCCAAGCCATAAGCCTCCTCTGCTTGAACAAAGCCAAGTGGAGAATCCAGAGGCCTCAATGCAGATGGCCCTTGCTCATTACACACCACGTCCCCAACCACCCTTCTCTGCACAGGGCATGATCTGGGGGTGGTAAGGGCTTCCCAGAGGGCTTCCTGATCAGAAGCTTTCCAGCAGTATGGCCAGGCGTCTCTCTGCCAGGGAGGGCACCGAAAGTCCTGGCTTTACCTCTAGCCCTCCTGCACCTACCACCTTGGCACCCTCTCTGCCTGGGCTCCTGTTTACATAACCAGAACCCAGGCATGTCCACTTCCGAGAACTGCCACCCTCATTCATGTGCCCTGCCTGCTATGGTGGCTGAGCTGAGCTGGACCCCAGCCCACATCGGCTTCTGCCCCTGGTTCTTGTCCAGTCACTCTCAGTGGAGGGATGTGATGAGCTCCTGGAGGAGTCAAGAAGGTGATCTAGTCTGAAAGGGTTTGGACATAGTGCATAGGGATTGGGTCTGCAAATATCTTAGCAATACTCTTTCCCTTATGAAGCTCCAACGCCGAACACATTTGACCCTCGGATGTTGATTGGTAGAACTGGATCTGACAAAAGAAACTCACCATTCTAATGCACTGCGATCCATCCGGGCTACTCTGTGAGCTCCAGGCATGTAGAATGTTGGTTCTGCCATTCACCAGCTTTGGCTCTGTAAGGGCAGAAATGGGTCTGTGTTTAGATGCCATGGCACCACAAGCTCCCAGGAGACTACCCACAACACTGAGAGGACTTGGAAATGCTCTTGTCAAGTGAGGCAGCCTCTCAAGGAGACACGGGAAATTGGAAAGCTGTCAATTTGAGGAACATCAAGTTTTTCTTCCACTACAGCTATCGTCTGGCTAATTTGTTCAAGCTAGTAACCCCCAAAGAAAGGGAAGACACAGGAGCGAGGAGGCAGGTGGTCCCAGATGACTTGGGGAGCAATGAGACGAAGCCTCAGTCTTTGGACTGATCATGAGCCCTGGCCCTGCCAGGCCACACAGCTTCCTACATGCTCTCTGGAGAAGCACTTGCTGGGGACAGACACCACATCTGTGCAGGCCCTGGAGGAGTTAGTGAGAGCTGCGTCAGAGACGGCATGACTGGCTAGCGGTCAGAAACCGGAAGTGGGCCTGAGCCCCAGAGACAAAAGAGGAACTCCCCAGTGGAAGCCAATCACAGACGGCAGAGAAGAAAGCAGCGTAGTGGTGTGGTAAGGCCGAGAGAGCATCTTTCCTCATATTTTCCAAGACCTAGGCTTTTTTTTGTCTTTTTTGAAATTATGCAGGGGAGTATCACACAGAGGCCCTCTTACCACAGCGGCTTCACAACCCTTGCGTCGTTTGCAGGGCCAGCACCAGCCCTCAACTGTGGCAGAGAGCCAGTGTCTGCACACACCCAGAAGAAACAAGTGATTCACCTCTCCTGCAGTTGGAAGTACTTCACAGATGCATCCATAAAACCAGAGGGAATTTGCTAAGGAAGGAAGTTACTCAGATGATTTCAAAATAAAACACCAAATTAAATCTTTTTACAGAAAAAGAAGACAGGAGTAGATTCATACAGAATATTTCTCAACTAAGGAGCATGAGTACCTTTATCGGTAGTAGCATTTTCCAGTTTCTAACAAAGCAACCTGGCTGATTGTTATATCCAAAGATATGGACATGCCAGATACTCTGCCAACTATTTATAGATGTCCACATGTGGTTCCAGACTCCCCTCTGCCTGGGATGCAGCGGTGAACATTAGCCCTGTGGTACTTATATTCTGATGGCGTGGGAGGCTCACGCCCACTCCCAGACCACACTTGCTGTAAGTCGAATCCACATGCCCAGAAATCCAGGCATGGCCTTCCTCCTGACTTCAAGCCTTTCCCGGACTCCAGCCAGACAATCTAAGATGTTCTGGACAGATCTGAAATCTATTAGGTGAGTCTAAAGGCGTCTGTGGCATTGGGTCTTGGTGAGTGTCTGAGTGGTCCCAGAGGGGAGATTTGGGATGGCCCAGCTCAGAGCATGCCTCTGGGGGCACGTCCTGGGATGGATTGTCTGTCAGGCATCTGAACTGCAGGGACAGCAGGGCTCTCTGTGAGCTCATAAAAGCAACCTACCGAGGCCAGGGGGCTTCGGCACTCCAGCACCGTGTCCCCGTGGGATGTTTCTTTCATCTGGCCACCTCCCATCCAGGGGGCCACGAAGGCCTTTGGGGAGCAGCAGCCTCATTGGGTCTGTGGTCCCAACAGCTGACCAACATCATACCACGTGGACGTCTTCAAAGAGTGACACTAAAAAGGTTGTGGGATTGCAAAGCTGAGGACCCAAGAAAAGCCAGCCAGCATTCCCGGCCAAACTAGGTGGCGAGTCCGTCAGAGGCAAGGCAGGGGCTCCTGTTTCTCCACAGCATATTTCCTCCCAGATGTAAGAGGACAGATTCTGTATGTATGATTTCACATTGGTCCTGGAGGACCCAAACTCGTAGAGACCAAGCAGAGGGCAGCGGCCAGGGCCTGGGAGGAAGGGCACAGTTGCATTCAGTGGGAACAGAGTTTCTTGGCAAAGACAGGAGAGTCCTGGAGGTAATCGGTGGCACATCATGTGAATGTACTCGACACCATTTAAAAATGTCTAAGATGGCGAATTTTATGTTTTACAATAAAAAGTGATGGAAATGTTTATTTTGAGCCTATGACTTAATGTGTGAATTCATTATGCCCCTTAGCATCCTCTCTCTGTTGAAGGGCTGCCCACCTTGCAAGGAGCTAGTCTGTGAGATGCTGAGCAGGACTGTTTGCAGCTCTCCTTTGGTAGCCACATCACCTAGGACAGAGCCCTCTGCAGCATAGTGCTGGATGAACGCTGTTTGAAAGAAAAAACATGGATGAACAAGTGGGCTCAAAATCTCCATGGCACTGGATCGTGATTTTTCTGAAAGTATGTTCACAAAATAGTCACAGCAATGAGCATTATCAAGGGCTTTATATGAGAGTAAATAAGATTTTCAACACAAACAAACAAAAAAGGTAAGTACATATTTCTAGCCACGTTGAAAGTTCCTGTCTGAATCCCCCACGTGGCCCTCACCTCACTCTCCTGAGAGGTCGGGGTGAAATAATAACTTCCCTCCTGGTCCGAGTGCTGAGTTTTTCCCACTCTGAACACCAGGAGCATTTCACACAGTGAGATTTCACAGCCCCTAGACAGTTCGGGAAGCACCTCAAGTCGCTTCAGCTCAAGTGCTCCCCTCCTGGGTGTCTTCTTCCTACAGGACAAGGCAGGAAGTGACCACTGCTGCCTTCCCTGCTGATTCAGCTGTGACTCTTCCACAGAAACTCGACTTCAATTCTGCTGCTTCCTGGTGTGAAAGCGTGCTCATTTTCTGGTAAAGATATTTAAGGGATAGGAAACTCGACAGCAAAAGAAAGGAACACAAGAGAGAAATCCTGGCACGTGTAAAGTTGGAGAGCACATCTGGTGCAAGGGACCAAAATGTCCCCTCCTTCTGTTTCCTTGTCATTGCCGAGTAACATTCTGCATGTCCACAAATTCCTACCCTTTTTTTTAAAAAACATCTGTCATTATGGTAACAATCCAACCACTGTGTGCTCCAGCCATTTTTAGCAAAGAATATATTAGTTGTTTTCTCTGCAGAACAAAACCAAAGTCTCATCTAAATAAAAATTGCCTACAAAAGTAAGTGCTATTTCCTGCTTAGTATAACAGACATGCCAGGAGTTTGGAAAGGGCTCCTGCCCTGCTTCCTGAGGTGTTCCCAACATCTGTGGAGATCTCAAAATATGAAACCACAGTGGGAAAGCTCTTCCTGTGCTTCAAGACGCAGAATGACAGAACCTATCACCCATGACAACATCACAAAAAAGAGTCTGAAAGACCTTTTGGCCACAAAACATCGAAATATGCCATATGAGAATAACAAAAACGGCCTTCAGTGCAAATCAGGGCTAAACACCTAAGAAAGTGTTGGCACTTTGGCTGCCTGGGTAAGGGGGACCTGGAGGGGACAGTTTTCTCTTCCAGGTCCCCCTTACCTCAAGCTGCCTAACCATAGGCCACACTTCATATATGTTTGTAATTTTAATTTACTCACCTGTACAGCATGGAAACCCAAGTCAATTAATTAACATAAAGAGTCTTAGTCTATTCAGAGTGCTTGCTAAAGCAAATGAAAAATTTCCCTAAAGAAACAGAACTTCAAACTCTGTCACACAAGATTCCCCTGATAAACAGTCTTTGAAATATAAGCTTATGATTAAAAATCACAAAATGCTTTAAGAGGCATGAACAAGAGTCTGCTGTGAATAGAGGCAACAGACCCAACAAGTAAGGCAGGTCATGAACCCCAAGAACTCCAGGAACATTAAACGATACAACTGTCAGGAAGAGCCAGTGAGTGGTGGCTGAAATCGTTAAAATGTAAAGGGAGAAATCAGAATTATAAGAAAAGAACCAAACTCTATTTAAAAATACCAGACATGTTTGAAAAACAACCATATATACCTTCTAGTAGTGAAGTCTGTATCATTAAAAAATAAAAACTTAATGAATGGGCTAAAAGTCAGATTAGATCACCAAAGAGAGAATTGGTGATCCAGGGAATGCTCTGGAAAGAGATGACCTATAATACAGCATAAAAAGATAAAGAGATTCTTTAAATGAAAGAGAATCTGAAAACATAGAAGATAAAATGAGACACTCTAGTGTACCATTACATTGGAACTCCAAAAAGAAAGAATGAGCAAGAGAGGCAGAATTTTGAAAGATAGTGGCTAAGAACTTTTTAGAACAGGATAAAAACCAGATTCAGGAAGCACAATTAATTCAAATCAAGATACAAAACTCTAGACATAATGTTTGAAAAAACTGTCAAAGGACAAAAAAATCAATCAGGAAAAAGATTACTTTCAAAGAAACTGGGGGTTTTTTGACAGCAGACTTTTAAATAGCAACAATAGAAGCCAGAAGTCAGTGGAATATTTTCAAAGCACTCAGACTTAAGGAATGATCTTACTCAGTTTGCAAGCTAAAAATAATAAAGAGACAAACTAAGACTAAGCCACTGCACATGCCTAGATTTATTCATAACTTACATTTGTAGAAAGAACTGGATTGGCAGGGTGTGACCTGGCAGTTATAATAGTACTCTGCTCTTTATCAAATAATCAGCTGTCACCAACTTGAAATTTTTTATAAGTTTTGAACAGAGAGCTTGGTAGTTCTATATTTCACTAGGGCTTAAAAATTATGCAGCCCGCTCGGTGAAGTGGCACTCACCTATAAACCCAGTGGCTTTGGAGGCTGAGGCAGAAGGATCATGAGTTCAAAGCCAGCCTCAGCAAGTTAGCAAGGACCTAAGCAACTCAACGAGACCCTGTCTCTAAATAAAATATTAAAAAGGGCTGGGGATGTAGCTCAGTAATTAAGTCCTCCTGGGTTTAATCTCTAGTACCAAAAAACAACAACAAAAAAATTATGCAGTCAATCCTGTGTGTAGGCTCTAAGAACTGGTACCACTGAGAAACAAGCAAGCAAGCAGCATCCTGTACATGTGCACAAATTCAATAACACAGAGCAAACCCTATGTAGAAAAATGGAGGTCTCAAAGCTGGGTAAACACAAAGAAGGGTTTGCACAAATGTGCTTGATGAAATTTTTCAATTAAAAATGCTCCAATCTCTTGTACATGGGGAGGGAAGAGGAACCAAGCACATCAGGGATAGTCCCTGGAAGGAGTGAGAGAGTCACCCACCTCCAATGTCTGTCAAGCCAGGTGACCTGCTCAGTGCAGAAAGGGTGTGAACACACAGAGGTGTGGGTAGAGAGAGAGAGAAAAAAAAAAACCACACACACAGAGAGTCAGAGAGACTATTGGCAGAAAGAAAAGCATCTTTCTCAAAAATGTCTGTATAAATGTTCATCATTAGCATCAATGGTGATACCCAAATATCAGTACAATTCATCTAGAAACACAATAGCACCAATAAAAAATCTAGAGGCAGTCCCCGTCTAGTGCCTCAGGTAAGACACAGATCTGGTAATGGCCACGATGAGGAAGAGCTTTTGTTGAAGTTTCAGTGATGGATCTAATTGCTCAGAAGAATTCTGTATCAGAAGAAGCTGGTGATATTAGAATGTGCCTTAAAAGGCTGGGGAAAGTAGCAGTATTAGAATGAAACTCTCTGATTCATTATTTTTTCCCAAGATGAGTTTGTGGCCTTAAATGGTGATGGGTTCTGTCCATTAAAATACTTTTTCACTAACCTGACTTACAAAGAAATGTGCTAATTGGTCTTATTGTGTTATATTTGTAGACATTTTGGTCCATTAGACAAAAAAAAAATGGATCTAAACATCAATTAGACAGTAGTATTTTTTCAGACTAAAAATTCAGAGTTTCAAAATAGATAGCCTCGGGCTGGGGCTGGGTGGGGGCAGTGGTGGAGACTTGCCTCACATGTGTGAGGCACTGGGTTCGATCCTCAGCATCATTTATACATAAATGAATAAAATAAAGTCCATCCACAGCTAAAAAACATATTTAAAAAAAGAAATAGATAGCCTTGTCATATCAAAACTAAAATGGAGACTTCACTGCTACTTCTGAGGTTGCGGAGTAGGTTGAAGATGACGAGTCGGGGTGAAGTGGCAGAGAGAGAATTGGATGGTTTCAGGTCTGTCTGGGTCCCTGGGGCCAAGTTCATGGTGGATCTGGAGACAGTTTCGGAGCATCACCTGTGCTCATGCTAGATGAGGTTGGAAGTGGAGATTTCCTGGGAAAGGAGACAGATGAGCTTTGATATAGAAAGGCTTTTCTTTCAATGGGTCATTTCTACATGGAACAGGGTGGGGGGACCTCCTTTCTCAGACATCTCTCAAAATGATTTAGCTCTTCAATGGTCCAGGACATGCTTCCCCAAGCGAAGGTGGCTTAAGGAGTGGACATCAGGAGGGACTCTTCATCAGAATCCACACCACGCCTGCATTTCTCCTCCTGCTCACATGCTCCTGTCCCGGGAGGACTCCCTGCCATGGCCCTCAGCCAGCCTCTCCCCGTCCCAGGACCTGCCACGCGTGGAAGTATATGCATGGAAGGTTCCAGTAGCAGACACCAAGGATCAGCTGTAGCTAAACACACAAGAAATGGTCTTTGCATTGTGGACTCTTGGACTTCCCCCTTGGAAGGCTCCTTCAGATTGGCTTTGGTGACAGGCCCACTCTTTCCTCTTTCAGGCTTTGTACAGAATCTTGAGTCCACAAGGGTACCCTTTCCAGTGTTTGCTTCTCTTTGTGTATTGTGGATGTACATTTTGGGGAAATAAAAATAGAGAAACTCCTTCAGTGTGCCCTCCCACTCAGGGAAGGCTGACGTCCAGCAGCAGTTAGCTCACTGGCTGTTAGCCAGATGCCCTGGGTGAACCGCACTGATGGCCCAAGACACTGCATGAGGCAAGCACTCTGCAGAAACGCTAAGGGTCAGGAGAAGAGGGCAAGATGAGGTAAGAAACGGGTCGTTAATATAATAAAGATGGGGGTGAAGGGAGGCAATTTCGGAGCACTGGCTTTGTGTCCTAGAAGAGACCTGGCCAGCACCTTCCTTCTCCCACACGGGGTCTGCTTGCTGAGGACAGCCACTCAGGGACAAACGGTCAAACTTCTAAACACAAGACCCTAAAATGCTATCAGGAGCTGGTACCCACAAGGCAGAGAGGGGTGTTTTCCAGAGGTGGTACCGGTATGTGCTGCGACATTTCCAGGTGGAACAAATCAGAAAGCAATTCCATCCTCACAGCTATTGATCATTTATTTTTAGCATATTTGCTGGCTGTGCCTGTTGCCCTGGCCACATTTGCAGGAAGGATGATAGTTTTTTTTTTTTTTTTTAAAAAGGAAGTTCCTGCTATCTGGACTCAGAGTCCCACCCCTGGGGACGTGCTCCAACGGCAAGCAGTTTCAGGATCACTTTGCAGGCTTGCACAGCTTTGCTCCCATTAAACCTCTGATTGCGTCTGTTGCCATTTGGAACAGAGATTCTTCGATCAAGTCTTCAACAACATGACACTGGATCTGGTAAGTGTGTGTGGACCAGTCATAGGCGTGCAGATGTCTTCCACTCGGACAGAAGATGGTAACCATGTCCACAGGCACTGCCACAGACTGTCAGGGACAAACATGTTGTTGCTATTATTTTTCAGCTAAAAAAATAAGCTCTTTACAATGCATAGTTGGAGGAACTTAGTCCACAGATTCAAAGCCATAGAATTACATGTTCTTAAAGACTCACAGGAGATAACAAAGCAGAAAACACATGTAGTGTTTTGTGGAAAGTCCTGAGGGCTGTGTGTCAGGGCCAAGCTGAATGGGCAGGGGACTTGCTCCAGCCACCCCCCAGGGACCCAGCTCCAGCCCTGCCTGTCCTTCTTCCACTTCCCCTTTATCTGAAGCAGTGGACAAGAGAAGGAGGAGGTGCCAAAGGACACCAGGGGTCCTGGAGGAACTGAAGCCACCACGTGCTGCAGGTGGAGGAGCCTGTAACCTCTTAAGGAAGAGTGGTTAGAAACTGCGGCCCTGATTTGAATCCTGAGGGCCCTTCGTGACACTTTCACTTCCAACAGGCCACCACCTGTGATGGTGTCCTGCTGTGACTCGGGACTAAGCAAATGTGATCCTGCCTGTTCCCAACCCTGGGAGGCCATGCCCAAGTCTTCACCCAAGTTTCCTCAGTAAGACTGGAAGAAGGTGGGGCAGCAAAGCCCCTTTGACAATGCATAGCAGGAGTGTGAGTCCCGTGTCACAAGGGGACTCACAGCTCTGATGCCTTGACCAGAACAAATGATGTTTTTGACAAGAGGACTTGACAAGATCCTCACGGAATCACACAGGATGTCACCTCCTGAGCTCTTCCAGAGCACAGAGATGGAAGGGACACCGGGATGGCGGGAAGGGAGGTTGGGAGCCAAGGATCATGGCAGTGTCCTCCAGACCCCTGGGTGTGGACTTGTTGGCCAATGCTTCTGCAAACAAGGGGGATGTAGGTGATCTCACTTTCCCAAGGGCAGTGCTCAAGGCCAGGGCCAGGCCAGGGCCAGGCTGAGCTCTTACGCTTGGCTTTTGCTCTGGAAAGTTCTCTCTTGGTGTGCTGCAGAGCACAGCCCTGAAGCACAGGATAGTGGACAAAACCCCCGTGACGGCCCAGGCTCCACCAGGCCAGCCTTCGCCCACTCAGAGCCAAGAGAAAGCAAACAGGCCTCTGGACAGCGGAGTGGAGGCTGCATGTTCTCCTCACACACCACTGACTTGCTGGGCCCAGAGCCTGTGCTGAGGATACCCCACACACCCAGGACCCAGGCTGGCTTCTGAGGAGCACCTGGAACAGCCAGCTGGGCAGTGGGCTCAAACTTCTCTGCCTTAGTCAACTTGATTTTGGATGGACTGAACATGTCATGTGGCATGTGAATGAGGGACCCCCCCCCCCCCCCCCCCCGCCCCTTGCCCTCTACCTCTTGGCTCCTGGTGAGCACATTTGGATCATGACTGGCTAGAGCACAGTCCTCCCCACATCCCTCTGTCTCTGGAGCACCTCCACCCCACAAAGCTCTACTCGTTCTGCAACTCCCACCAGAAAGACGGTCATAGACTTCCTGATACTTCCTGGTGAGTGGTAGGCAAGGACCAGATCAATCAACCAATCAACCAACTAACCAACCAGCCAACCCAGATACTTGGGATGCATTTTCCCAAAGACAGAGCCTTGTGAGGGATACCCAGGCCCAGATGCAGCCCCCAGGGCTCCACTCCACATCTGTGGAGCAACCAGAAATCATGGATCCATCTCAACCCCACAGATTCCTCACAGCTGAACTGGGGAGCCAGTGCCATTCACAGGGCAGAGACTGGGTTACTGAGCATGTCCCTGCCTGGCCTTTCCCGGCCAAGACTTGAGTGGTAGGAACCCAGATGGCTTATATCGGCAGGGCCTCCAGTCTTCTTTCAGGATGCCCCTGGGGCTTGTGAAGGCCAAAGAGACTTGCCAAGTGACAGGTGCATTCTGTGAGTCTGTTCGTTTCAAGCAAAATTTCTGGTTTCACTTGATTCTTATCCAGAATGAGGCTTAGGTGCTCGTCACTATCATGGGGCACTGAGGGGGCATTGTACCCACTTTGGAAAGGCAGTTTTTTCCCTCCTGATTTGCTTCACAGTAAAGGTGGCACTGCAGCTAATGCAAGGCGAGTAAACTGTGGCAAATGTCATCAGCAGGCTCCCCCACCAGGAACCCTCGCTTCTTTCAGACTCTGCTGAGTCCCTCTGGGGCACTCTTGTCCTCTAGAGCACTTTGAGATACTTCATAGTGTCACTGTAAAGCCAAACCCTTGTCCCAGTGCGGCAGAGCATGGCCAGGCCAGCTAGAACACAGCAAGCCAGGGCTGAGCCAAACAAGGGCACGCTGACCTGTCACCCTACAGAGGCCAAGGCCTGGTGCTCATGCCCACTCCTTATAGTGCCATGGCCCCCAATCCCCAGTATCCACCATCCTCGGACCTCAGCCTCCTGGGAAGCTGGGATTGCAGCCTGCAGAAATGGGCAGAAGGGAATGGCAGCGCAGACCCAAGGGCCAACCAATAGTGTCAGTGCTTTCCAAACCCGATTGGCATAAGTTTTAACCAATAGCTTTTAGTACTTTTCCAAACCCGATTAGCATAAGTATGGACCAATAGTGTTGACCCAAGTGCTATATAAACCCCTAGACCAACACACTCAGTAACCCACCTGCTACTGGTTACTCTCTTGTCTTTGAGTTCTGTTTCTATGCTTCACACTTGAATAAATCCTACATCTCTCACTCTTGCTTTCTGCTGTCCCATCAATCTCATTCTTTGGACTTGCTAAAAAGAACCCGGAAAGACGAGACGTTGACAGTGAGCTTCTGGGGTCTGTTGCACCCTGGAGAGCAGAGTCCCACATACAGCTGCAACACTGGGAGCTGAGCCCACCGTTCCACGGTAGTGGAGAAGAACATGGCTTTCCACCCTCGACCCTCAGAGCAAATGCTGAAGTGGTGAATTAAGTTTTATCTCAAACTCTGGTTTCACTGGTTCTTCAACTGGCTCCAAGGCTGTCCCCACAGCTACTCTGCCGTGCTCACCTTCCCAGAGGACCTCTCCCCATCCCTACAGGTGGCGTGCCACCTCTGAACACAGCATGGCACACAACGCTTCTGGAAGTCTCTCTGAGAACAGTAAGTCAAAGTGCATGTTTCACTGAGCTCTTGCCAACAGCACTTATAAGCACAGAGCCCAAGTCCTGGCATGTGGTAGATGCTCTGGGGGACGTTGAAGAGGTGGCACATATTGCACAATGAACCCTCCTATTATGCTGAAAGTCATGGTCCTCCCACCAGCCTACCACCCTCGGAAATGTGTAGCCTGGGTCCCAGGGCCCAAGCCAGAGCTGACTCTCAAGCTCAGCTCATTATTCACATGCCGTCTCCTGGGGCACATCTGCATTGCCAAAGTTCTGAAAGGGTCCGACAGCTCTCAGATGCAGTCACTTGTGTTCTGACCACCCACCTACACACCCCATTTGCCTCTGAAGAGCTTGCTTAGTGAAGCCCATAAACACAATTCCCCTGTCGTAGCCAGGATTCTCCAGAGGAACACAACCGATAAGTTGTACATAGAGAGAGAAAATGAGATTGATCTTAAGAAATCGACTCAAGCAATCATGGAGGTTGGCAAGTTCAAAATCTCAGAGTAGGCCCAGGAAGGAGTGGAGGCAGCTCCAAGCTGAAAGCCATCTGCAGGTAGAGTTCCCTCTTCTTTGGGGGAGATCAGCCTCTTAAGGCCTTCAACTGATGGGATGAGGCCCACCTACATTATAGAGAGCAATGTACTTTATTCCAGGGCCACTGATTTCAATGTTAATCTCATCCAAAAAATACCTTCACAGCAACATCTAGACTGGTGATTGACCAACAATGGGGCACCACAGCCCGGCGAAGCTGACACATAAAAATAATCATCATGCCCTGTAGTGACCACAACCCTTGGAGCTGAGTGCAGCCAGTGTGGCTATAAAGAGGGCTGAAGTCTAGGAGATGAGGCAGGGCCTGCCAGGGGCAAAGTGCCTCATAGACCATGGGCTGCCAGAGGGAAGGGACCGTGGTGAAGTGGACGTGGGTCCCCTCTGCCAAGCCCAAGGCAGAGCACAAGACAGATGCTTCATGAGGAGTAAGGTGCATCGTGGACTCTGCCCCCAAGTGGCCTGGGATCCATCCCCCTGTGCAGCAGGTGTGCTGTGCGATCGTGATCCAATTACTTGGCCTCTCTGTACTTCAGTTTCCTCATCTGAAAATAGGAATAATGAAAAGGAAACAATAATTGTTATGAGGATTAAATGAGTTAAGGTTTGTAAAAGGCTTCAGTGACCCTCCAGCTGCTTGTCAAGTAGAGTAAAAGCTTCCCTAGCTATGGACCACGGATTTCATCACCAGTTGGGTTACACCAGCGTCCCCCCAAATCTAAGCCTATTCCCTGGGAGGAAAGTCAAGGCCCTCCTGGGACAGGTCCCTGCATGGCCCGTCCACAAAAGGAGTGTGCGGGTGCAGAGCGGGAGGGCTGGGTCTGGCCACACTTGCGCGTGCACAACCCAGTCGCTGACCGCACAGGCAGCCGCCTTGCCATGGGCTTCTGCACAGGACAGCAGAGCTTCTCTTGTTTGACCCTCACAGAGCAGGGACATACAGCATGGCAGGTCCAGGAGTTGCCTCAATCTCTTCAAGGAATGTGCGACTAGTGGCCGCCTCTCAAGATAGCATTTCTGTCTCTAAAATTAAGTTTCCTCAAAATTGGTGTCAAACTGGGTGCATTTGTGAAGACTGAATATTTAGTTCAGCACTAGTAGGAATGGCAACAAGGATGACCAGGCTGGCCTCGGCCATCCCTGTCAGATAGAACCTAACGTGGGAGGAGGAGCAGGAGGAAGAGGAGACCAACACGAGTCTTCTTATTTCTAGGATTCTTGGAAACATCTGAGTAAGACAGAAATAGGACTGTTGAACGCAGAAAGAAATCCAGCCAGCCTGAGAACAGAACTATTCGGTGCCTTCGGAGCCTGGGTTGAGCAATCCCTGAGCTTCTAATTCTTACCAGAGACAGTGCTGCTAACATGCACAGCTGGTGGGAGAACACTGTGGCCTCCTGTTAAGTTGTCCTCACCCCAGCTTTCTCCACTGCAGAGCCTCCGGCCCAAAGCCACTATGGTGACAAGCTGGAGGGGACCAGGATGGGCGGGGAGGCGAGCCACCCTTCCCATCTTTGCCTTGGCTCCCTCCAACCCTGAGTCCCTCTGAGCCTTCAGCACTCGAGGATGCCTCTTGCAGGGTAGGACCCCTCAGGTCCAGTGGGAGAAGGGGATGGAGCAGGGACGGGAGGGGTGCTGTTGCCCCTCCAATGCCCCCCCTCATGAGAAGCTTAGAATACTTGATCTTTCTGACCACAGTCTCTTCGTAGCCCAGCTCTTTCTTCAAAGCAAAGCGGCATGGGAACCTGCAGGCAAAGCGGCCAAGGGCGGAGCTGCTCTCCTGAGCCGAGCGTCCAGTTCCTGCCACAGGACAGGTGCCTGCTAGCTGAGTGGCCTTGCACCGGTGAGTGCCCCCTGAGCCTGCATTCGCCCATCTGGGAAAGCAAAGAGGACACTTTGGAGTCTGCTTTGAGGGCAAATCAAGAGCCGCACAGATGGCTTGAAGCATGACGCTAGCACCCACCAGTAGCTCTACCCTTCCCTTATTTGTGGGCGGTGAAGGCGAAGAAGATCCTCAAGTTGCTGGGCACGGTACTGCATGCTGTAATCCCAGCAGCTCAGGAAGCTGAGGCAGGAAGATTGCCAGTTCAAAACCAGCCTCAGCAATGGCAAGGTGCTAAGCAACTCAGTGAGACCCTGTCTCTAAATAAAATATAAAATTGTGCTGAGGATGTGGCTCAGTGGTTGAGTGCCCCTGAGTTCAATCCCCAGCACCACCCCACAAAAAAAGAGCCCCAAGTCCCCTATGAAACTCAAGTCTTTGGTTGAATAAACTATCAAACACGCCAGGCCTTGGGATGTTGGGGCTGGATCTGCCTCCTGCCCTAGACCTACACCTGACCTGAGCAGAATATGCTTGCTATCTCTCCCTGGCCCTCACAGGCCACCTGCCAAGGTCACTTTCTCCCTATCTCCAAGGAATCAGATGAGTGACTGATCCCTTTCTTTGCCCATTTTCTAAGAGAGGAGGCTGTTGGGGTGCTGGAGCTCAAGGCTAAGGACCAGGACCTAGGTCGCCAATGCCACCTGAGCTGGAGGACAGGCAGCCAAGTAGAACCCTGCTTCCCACTGCATCTGTCCCACTCCCCTGGGGACACTTCCCAGTTGTGCTCTGAGGCTTACAGGATCTAAACACAGACACGGCACCCCTGTCACGATTTTTCCCAAGCCACTGCTTGTGCTCTTACACATTTCTAATCTTGGTGCAGAGTAAGCTTCTGATATTGGGTTGCATCCTCCAATCCTACCTTCTGGAAGGACCCCTGATTTTCAAGAGGAGAACTCTGGCGCATCACACCCCATTACAGTTTGCTCAAATCCTATTTGGGGCTGCCTTCTAGAAGCTAGAATACCCAATATGGACACTTGCCCAAGTAACATTTTTCTTCATTAAATTAAAGGTTTTCTGAAAAAAAAAAAAAGATGACAAACAATGAGAGCTCCATAGCATGTCAACCGACAGGCTGGACAACGCTGCTGACACCAGCCCACTGGGGACAGGCCAGGCAGCCACGCATCCTCCAGGAGGCTTGTTTTGGGTGCATTCTAGCTGCACGTGTTGACGGGATTTGTCGTTATGTACCGTACGTGCACACAACACAGCAACATCATTTGGCCAATATCACCCCCCAACACTTCCCTCCCTCCCCACCTCCCTCCCTCTGGTCCCTTTCCTCTGCTGATCACCCTATGAGTTTTAGGAGATTCACCCCCCCACACACCTTTCTTTTCCTTTGTCCTTTCTATTCTCCACATATGAGAAAATCCTTAACCTTCTGAGTTTGACTTATTTCACTTGACATGATGGTCTCTAGCTCCATCCATTTTCCTGCAAATGACATAATTTCATTTTTCTTTATGGCTGAATAAAACTCCATATATACCACATTTTCTTTACCCATTCGTCTGTTGATGGACACCTAGGCTGGTTCCATAGTTTGGCTATTGTGAATTGTGGTTGCTATAAACATGGGCCAGCATGTGTCACTGTGGTAAAATGGCCCTAATTCCTCAGGGAGAAATGCTGAGAAGTAGCACAGCTGGGTCATATGGTGGCTCCATGCCTGGTCTATCCAGGACCCTCCCTGCTGATTTCCATAGTGGTTTTGTTAATTTATGATCCCACCAACGGTGTAAGAGTGGTCCTTTCCCTCCACATCCTCTCCAGCATTGATTATTATTTATATTCTTGATGATTGCCATTCTTTCTGACTGGTGTGAAATAAAATCTTAGTGTAATAGTGTAATTCAACAGTGTTTTTACAATGTCAATTCAATAAAATACCTTCAAATAAACTTGAAGGATACATGCATGAAATGTCTAAGAAAAAAATGTTAAAAAATCAAAAGGAAGAGAAGAGCCAGTGGGAACACGTACCACATTTTAAGAGAGGAAGATTTATTGCCAAGTTGATTCTCCTTAAATTACTTTACAAATTCAATAAAAATATCAGCTTAAAAAAAAAAAACCTAGATAAGCTGACTCTAAAGTTCATCTGGAAAGTGAAACAGCCAGGAAACTGTTCACAATGACTGAGACATGGAATCAGTCCATGTGCCCACCAGTGCACGAATGGATAAAGAAGAGGTGTGGGGTCTTATCAGCCATAAAAAAGAATGAAGTCCTGCAGCCTGCAGCAGATTGGGTGAGAGTGGAGGAAATTATGTTAAGTGAAATAAACAAGACCCAGAAGTTCTATCCCATGTGCAGAAGTTTAAAAAAAAAAAAAAAAAAAGTGGGCCTGAATGTAGAATAGTGATTACTAGAGATCAGAAAGGGGTGGAGGGAAGGTGGACAAAGCAAAGCTGGACTTGATCAGTGGGCACAGGTGCATATTATATTGAAATTCCACAAATATGTACAGTGGATACTTGTTAATAAAAAATTAGCTTCAAAAGGAATATCCAGAAACGGCAAAAGAAAAGCATTCTAGCAGGGGCAGGGAGAGGGGGAAAGGAATGGAAAGAAATAGTTCTGCCTCATATCATGGAGTCTCCATAAAGAAAACAGTGTGGTGCTGACTAAGGGACTGACAGCCCCAGCAACAGGATGAGCTAGAAGATACATAAGTACACCTAATTATGGTCAGAATCCTGTGCATTACACAGGTGCCATCCTGAAGGAATGGTGTCAGCCAATGGCAACTGGACAGCCAGGAAAGAGTTTAGCTCAATCCTAACCTTGTATTTGGCCCCAGCGTCAGTTCCAAATGCAGCAAAGATATAAATATTTTTTAAAAAATGAAACAATAAATGTACTAGAAGAAAATGTGGGCAAATTCCTCATGAACTCTGGAGTGTGAAAGGCCTCTCTTTCATCCAGAATCCATTTTAAAAATTGCTGTACAAACCACCTAAAGTTTTTTGAATTTTCACAAAACATGAGCAAAAGCACCAAAAGACATTGAATAGCAACGCAGAGCAGCTCATATCACAGACAGCAGATCTACCAGCATACAGAGAGCTCTGAGAAACTATTATGAAAAAAAGAGCAAAGCCAACAGGTTTTGTTTAGATGGGGCAAAGAATACAAGGATACAGCTCACAGAAGAGGAAATGCTGGGCTGAGCTTGTGGCTCAGCAGTCAAGTGATCACCTAGCACGTGTGAGGACCTGGGTTTGATCCTCAGCACCATATAAAAATAAATAAAATAAAGGTATTGTGTCCATCTACAACTAAAAAATAAAAATTTTTTTTTTTTAAAAAAAAAGGAAATGCTAATGGCTCTTGAAAAAACCGAGAAGGAAAAATGAAAACTACAATGAAATGCCCAGGTGGCATGGCTGGGGGGGAGGGGGCCTAGTGTCCATTGTTAGCAGCAGGACAGAGGGTACAACCCCGCTGACGGTATTTGGAAACCTCATCAAAGCTACACTTGCCCTTCGACCCAGTAATCCTACTTCCTGGAATTTATCCTTTGGGTGTGCCAATACATATAGGAAATACCTGGGTAGCTCTGTTTATAGTAGCAAAAGATTGGAGGCAAATCAAATGTCTATCAATAGGAAAGTAGTAAGATAAACTTATGGTGTGTTCATAAATAAGACACGTTGAAACTGTAAAGATGAATATGGCCATTCTTCCTGTGCTGTACAGATTTGAAAGACGTCCAAGATACCCGGTAAAGTGAAAACAGCAAAGTCCAATGCAGAATGCTAACTCGTATCAACCTGGCTTATTTTATCACAGTCTTTGTTGGCATTTCTGTGAACATAAGGGATTGAATATCCTTCCATTCTCTCAAGAGCCATTGCATTTCCTTCTCTGTGAAACAGGGAGAGAAAGGAAGACACCCTCCCCCCCCACTTGCTTGTGTTTGACAAAGACACCCAAGGAACTAACACGTGTGGTTATTTGGGTAGGAGCTGATGGGACCAAGGATAGAAGCAACATTTCTTATAGTTTCAATCCTGTGAACCAAGAAAGAGTCATTGGTTCCAAAACAACGGTGAACTAATTGCCTCTTTCCCTGCCAGTTCCTTGGGCTCTTGATAAACCTATTGTTTTATACCTGCCACGTATTTTTCCCATCTTAAAGTCTCTCTGGAGGAAGGGGGCAGGGTTGAGGATAAATGGGTAACCAAGGATGCCCACAAGTTGGATAGATGCCAACCACAGGTCATTTCTGGAAGATGAAGTCAACAGAGGGACAACTATTTTTTCAAAAAGAGGACGGTGATGGCTTTGGAATGAAAATGGCTACTAATCAAGACATCTAGGCAAACAACAGACAGGTTCTATGATCAGCTGAGAAAAGAGAAGCCTCCCACCCCAGAATGGTTCCTCTCCAGGCTTTAGTGCTAAAGCTGGCCCGGCCCAGCCTGACCTCTGCTGTGTTTGAGCTTTTCCCTGGACCACAGATGTGCAACTGCTGTTCTGCTTTCTTCCTGATCTGCATTTCTCTTAGAGGCCTGGAATGGACAGCTTTCTCTTCAGGCTTTAAACATCTTTCCTGCTGAGGGTCCCCTGCTCACAGCTGGGCTTCACCTTCCTCTTCAGAAGAGCAAGAACCAGCCCAAGCACTGCAAGATGAGGTGGCACATCTGCTGCCTACGGAAAGGAAAAAGCAAACTAGAGTCTCCAGAGTCGCTGGTCCCTGCCGGTCTGAGCGCTTCCAGCTTCTCCCTGGATTGCTGTGAATTTATGAGCTCAGAGCACAGTACGTTCGAGGTTAGCAGAGCTGCTGCCCCAAGGAAGGATGCCGTTCCACCGCTGTGACTTCAAGGGGAACCACTGAGCCGTGGGGGATGGAGGAGGACAGGGCGGGGTTGGGGGACAGGTGCCAGGCCTCTGCAGAATGTCCAGTTCCCACCAGCCTCAGATCTCATCAAGGGAACGAGCTGAGTTGTCCTGATGAGGTTCCAGTTTCCCCGGCTTTTGAAGTGGCCTGGGGAGAATGCATTTGCTGTCATTAATAGAGGGCACAGATGTAAGCCCAAGTTCCAGCCCCAGCCCAGCCCATGCTGCAGGGGACAGATGAGGACCAGCCCAGAGAGTGCTCAGGCAGTAACACAGACTGCCTGGCAGGGCTTCAGGAGGCCTGACTGGAGTAGGCTCTGCCCCTGGCCATGATGCAGAACCACCAACCCCCTCTCCATTCCATACTCA